ATTTTTTAATTAAAATATTTTAAAATCAAAAGGATCAAAATATTTTTAAAAAATAAAATGTCATTTTATTTTAATTCTAAGTAAATTTTCTAGTCAAAAAGATTTTTTTTTTATATTATTGAGCTAAAGAATTATTAGTATTGTTTTATCATGGGTCGGTGGAAATTGCGGCTGTGGACAGTGGGTGGGACTGCAGAAAGATTTAGAAATGGAAATCTCCACTGATTTTGTAAACACTTTTTACCCTATCCATCAACAAATTCCAATCTATTGGAGAAGCTACAAGGGATAATGATTTTATAATAATATAAATATTATTTTATTTTGCTATGAGGAGAAGTATTAATTAGTTTAGAGGTACTAATCTAGGTTGTGGTGCGGTGAAAATAATGCTTTATTCTTAATTAGGAATTTTAAGTTTGAGTTCAATTTTTTAGTATGAAAAAATTTAATTTAAGATAAAACTTCAATTGAATTTAAATTTTTTATAACCAAAGCTGATTTAAAATGAAAAAAAAAAGTGAATACTACTATTTGTTATGGCCAAAATATATTCGACGGATTCTTTAAACATACTTTATTGCGTCTCATTTTATGAATTACGTTAAAAGAAAAAAATGAACATTTTTTAAATTTGTGGTCTATATTTAGTATTTGTGTGATTCTAATATTATTAAGGGTAAAATAGAATTTTTAAAGTTAAATTGAAATGTGTTATTCTTTTTGGAACGGATTAATAATAAAAATATGTCATATAAATTGAAGACGGGAATATATTATATAAAAGAAGTGTTGAAAATCTCTCAAAAATTGATCAAAACTATTAGTTTTATCTTCGAATTATTGATAATCGTAAAAATACCTTAAATAATACGAAAAGGTATAAAAATATCATTCAATCGGAAAAAAATATGGAGTGAAGGGTTATATATAAACTTACTCTTTTGAGTAAAGGGAAGATCGCATCTTGTTTACGTTTGTGGACTTTATCTTTGTGAAATTTTTAATTTCTTTTCATTGATCGATACACTTTTTTTATTTTTGATTTTTCAGCAAGCAATGATATATTTTTATATTTAAAAATGTATTTAAATTAATTATAACAAAAAAATGAGATAACTCCCGAGTAGAAGTTAGAACACAAACTAGAATATAGATAAAAGGGAACTCGGAATCCATCTCGCAAAATACCTATTTCATTTGTCTTAATTCATATGATTAATCTTTCAAGTTAAATTAATTTAAAATTTTAAAACTAGAATTTGTATATTTCTTATATCAATATAACGAAAAAAGAAAATTTAAAATATTGATCAAAGTTTATGTAATTTAAATTTCAAAGAATAAAAAATCGTCACATAATTAAACTAAAAAAAGTATTATAACTTATTAACTCAGTGTGTATAAAAGATGGGAGCGCAAAACGGGACATTTTTACTTAACAACTTTATCATCGATATTATTTTCTTTTATAACATCTACAATTCTTTTCTAATATCTAAACCTATAAACATGTATTATTTTCACTCGGATAATCTAACAAGCTATTGATATCTATTTTATTGTAAAAATAACCATCATTAATCATGACGACAAATTTATGAATATCGTTTTCACAAAAGGTTTTTTTTATATTTCCCTGAACAATGTAATTAAAATTAGCCTTTGTTAATCTCAAAAATACTTTTTAGATTAATTAATATTAATTTATTAATTAAATAATAATTTTATAAAATAATAATATTTTATAATTTCGATAACATTTATTTAGAGAGGTTTTAGTGTATTATTTAAATGAGTATACGAAAAATCACGTGTCACTCTATACACCATTGCTTCTTGCTTTTAGAGTGTGTGTGTGTATATATATATATATATATATATTTGTTGTGTTGTAGTGAAGCATCTTCCTCTCTCAAGTTGAACATTCTCCTTACTTATTTCTATAAAAAGTGAATTTTCTCTTTTGAAACCTTCACAAACCCTTTGTTCATTCCAAAAAGGAAGGATTGAACTTACTATGTAAGTGATCTCTCTCATACTTATATTTTATTTATACTCTTTTCATCTCATTATATATGTCTTTTTTTTCATAAATACCTGAATCATAATATTTATCATTTTATAAAATTTATGAACAAATAACAATATTTTGTCTATTATTCCTTTGATAGATTAGTTAATTAGTTTTGAAAATATGTTTGTCATTTATTATGAAACAGATATAAAAAAACATTAAATAAGAATAAAAGAATAAAACTATATCATTTTTAATGCAAATACAAAATAAAAAGGTGACAAAAAATGAGAGGGAGGGAGTATATGCTAGCTAGGCCACATTAGTTTATAACATTGGTTTAGCTGCCTTCAAATATGTGTTTCTTCATGGAGTATATAGAAAAGTAGATTACCCTCCCTCGCCCCACACCGCCTTA